CCTCACAATCATCCTAATTTAAATCCACTCCGATTTCATAAAACTTATGAAATTAAAAATTATCCACAGATCTACTACAGCTACGGTCCAACATTAGCAAACAATAAGCAATACAAAATTAATTTTGATATGACGACATCAAATATAATTGCAATGTATAATTGGCCCAAAGATGAAAATCAACTTCAAAAAATTATTTATAATTATCTCGAATTTGTAATTGGAAAATATCCTGATATGCGCCATTACTTTTGCAATATTGGAAGAACTAGGGAGGAACATTTTGACCTTCAAATTTTATTTAAAAAACGACTTGCTAATTTAATTGGCATTGAACTGTTGAAGAAATTAGAGATGAGCTTTCCTGAAGTTTTAAGAATAAGTGAGTTGTAGAGACGTAAGACTTTTTAGTAAAGACGTATTGACTTAAGATTTCTTTACATCTCTTTGAGCAATTAAAAAGATTAACCAAGATAGGTATAGGGATTAAGTGGAATTGAAAAATGAAAGGGATTTAAAAGGATATTGTTAGATTTGTATTAATTAATAAGGATTCGGAGATCGGATTATTATTATATACCTAAGTAAATTTAGAAGGATGTAGGATCAGAGTATTTATCCTCAAAACCTTCGATAACCTCGTAATTTTCACTCCAGATATCCCTATAATCCACAGAATCCCCCAACTTGAATCTTTAAGCTTAAACACAACAAAGACAATTTGTTGACAGCAACAACCAGTCATGAGGAGGTTCCGTTCCGTTTCGGAACTTCCGGTTCCGTTCCGTTTCGGAATTTCTGGAACCGGTTTTGAACCGGTTCCGGCTCTGGAACCGAAACCGGCCAAATTTTGGGATTTATGCATCACTGGCAATAACTCTTGTTTCTGGACGGTGTTTAAGCTTCTTTCGATAACATTCTTATCTGTTTAATAAATATCACTCTTTTAGATTTTTTGGAATTGGATGTTGCTCTTTCGTATTATGAACAATATGTCCAAAATCCAATAGACTCTCCTATCTCTACTGAAGCTATTAAATCATTAAATATGAGATTTTTAATAGTTAAAATTGCAGATAAATATTTTTTAATTTATAATATATTTGGAGAAAATGATAATTTATACAATATATTTAAAAAACGTTTGGATTGGGCAATAGATGAGGCATATCACAGATTTAAAGGTTATACGGATGAGAGATTGTGTTTTATGGTGGAATTTATTAAAATACTAGATAAATGCATGGAAGTAAGTATTTATTTTTAAATAAAGTAAATACCGTATTTATTCTAATTGAATGGCCCCTCCATTTGAATGGCCCCTCCAATTGAATGACACATTTTTGAATGAATGAAAAATAGAATGGCCACCTCCATTTGAATGGCCCTATGGCCCTTTTTAACTATAAACTCCCTAAATCCTGTTTCTTTAATCCCTTTATTAACTAATTTAATATTCCTTTTCTGTGCGGATAATTGTGATATTTTTGAGAAGGTTTAGAGTCAAAAAGAGATTGAAAGGGATATCGGTGGATTTAAAGGGATTAAGAGAGATATCAATCAATCAAATGGATTTGGAGAAAACATCTGGGGATTAAAATAATTAGGGGAGCTATTAGGTGATTGATGTGATTGATAGTACAGTTATTATAATTAATATATATATATATATATTATAGGTAGGCGTCAACAACCCTAAACATGCGGCCTTGCTGATTAATATTTGGACTGGTTCCTATTGTAGAAGAAAAATCATTCATGAAGACGCATTAAAGGAAGCAAAAGAACTTGTCGCATATCAGCATTTTGAGCTTTTGAAAGATCTCTCTTCAAAAATATTACAAAAATGCACCGAGCCTGGAATGCTGTCTAAACTTGACTTTCTTTGTCCTAATGTGACTGTTCTTGAATGTTTTGAAGTTGATAGTCAGTGTATTTTTTTAATTTTTAAATACTTGACTTTAAAACGCTATAAATTTATTGGGTAATAAATACATAAAGTACGGCTGAATACATAGGCAGAAAATTCATAAATAGGATGAAGATGGAAGTTAGATGTTTATAACGACATATTACTTTTAAATCTTTGGGAGTAGGGTTGTCGTTTTCTGGTAAATCTTCGGATATCCGGAACCGAACCGATATCCGAACCGAAAAATCATCGGTTCTTCGATTCGGTTCGGTCCAAAACCAACAACCCTATTTGGGAGCAGTGGGAGAAATGTAACAAAATCATTAGCTTATGACTAGTGCTTGAATGATCGTACCAAATTCGTACTTGTGTTCATCTTGTAAAAGGGGCAAAATGATGGGAGATGGTAAACAAATACTTGTGGCATATTCGTGTTGGATCAAATCTCAGATATGACGGATCACACTAACTTGGACCTAATAAATTAACTCGTTTTGGACACCCCTAAAAGCTTTATTTCATTCCTTATCATTTTTGCCATTTTTGCCTACTCTTGAAATAAAATTACTAAAATAATTTATAAAGTATCTTCCTCCAAACAACGAGAACGCTTACGTAATCATTTCATTGGAGCTTTACTTAAAGAGGACAATTTAGAAACAATTTTAAACAAAATTGCAATTGAGATAATATCTTTTATTCGACGGATTGACATTGATGTTAGTAAATTATTAAATTTTTAAATCGCCAAACCCTGTGAATCTAATACCGAAAACTTATTTTTAACGGTGTTATGACAATTTAGGAACGCAATTGCGGATATGATAGTTGTGGGCGACAATTGTGGCTATAAAATTTCTAAAAAATTTAAAGAAGTATTAAAATAGGAGCCTGTTTGTTGATGACCTAAATCATGATCGTGAATGGTGATTCGAATCATGACGGTTTCATGATGATTTCAGGATTAATGTCACTCACTGAGTATTTAAAAATCTTTATTTTTTAAATTTTATATCACAATTGTCGTCCGGAATTTTCATTCTTTATTGTCATATCTGCAATTGTAGCTCCGGAAATTGTCAGATCGCCATTTTTAACTTATAAATTTTGAGCATATAATTTTTTGGGTGTCAAAATTTTCGCCAGAAAAATTTATAAACTATAGTTACGTGTTTTTGTAAAGCTTTGGGTCTTTTGAACCTATCCTAGTACGAAAATAAAATTTCGTCACAAAACTGAACAAATTAACATGCCTTCCCAAAATAAAAATTTCTAAGCACCAAATGGTGATTAATTAAGATTTCTTTTTAACACGTTGATATGAGAGTAAAGCTAATTTTACTATCAGATAATTTCACAATTGGAAGAAGTTGATCCTCAAAAAAGGTGTGTGAATGACCGACTGCTTAAAGATTTTCGGCTTAATGAAGTCCTAAAGTACAAATCCGATTATGATAAACTTTTCAATATGACAATGGAGCAATTAATAGAACAACAAACAAAATTAAATATTCAACAGTTCAAATTATATAAAAAATTAATTGTGCACGAAAATATAAAAGATTTAAAATTACAAACAATTTTGGATTATATGATGGAAAAGGATAAAAATATTTTAATTTCTGATAATCAAAGAAATGAATTTTTAAAATGGCGTCAAGTAATTATTGCAAATGAATTTTATGAGGAACTTGGTGTAACAAGTAAAATTGGTATTCAGACTGAACGTAAAAATCGAAAGATTTTCAAGGAGAAAATAAGTAAAGGTATGATTAGAAAATTTTATTTAATAAGAATTTAATAAGAGTTTAGCAAAAGCTGATGGTCAAGAACCATTAGCCATACCGAGAGGTCGATGTCTGGCGAGATATCCCAAAGGTTTCAAGTTAGATCCCAAACCTATCAGATTTCCTTTCCCACTTTATAGAGGTCTGTCTAGGCATCTTAAATGATGCTAGATGAATCATTCGCAATTAATAAAGTAAATGAAGACAGAGGCAAACCCATCGAACAATAGATAGGGTTGCCTATGTTATAAGATTCCATAGACAGGCTTAAACTATGAATTTTGGACTCTGACCTTGAAGATAAAAACCGATATCTAAAAATAGTAGATAGATTAGAGTATTCGAAAAATCATCCTGTCAACTCGAGGCTAAATTTAAAATTGTATCTTTTATATCTTAACCAAGGTCTCTCTTCATCTCTTTCATCTCGACAACGTCTTTATAATTTGATCGGTTCCGAGAATACTCGTAAATGTTTTGAGCTACTCAAAATAAAATTTGATGAATCAGAATTTAAAAATTTGGAAGAAATAGGGTATCAATATTCTGAGGAAAGGGGAAAAAATAATGAAAAAAATAGCCAAGATTTGATCAAAAATATGGATAGAATGGAACAAATTGATGCAGAAGGTTGTTAAATGTATTAATTAATTTTATGTTAATTAATTTTAATAACAGATAAAAATAATATAATAAACAATTTAGTTGATAGGTTAAGTAAATTAAGTTTGGAAGAAGGAAGTGGATCATCAAAAAACATGGGAAATGAAATTAAAAATAAAGAAAATCCTTTTAAAATAAAAAATTACAAAAAATCGGAAATCCTTGAAGATACAGAAATGATGGAACTAGAACAAAATAAAGGTTAGAAATTTTATTCGAGTGTGATCAGGAATGAGCGTCATGGCGTTTGGTGTCCATTTTTGGCCGATTTTTAGCTTTTTGCATTTGGCGTGTTTTAAAAATTTGAAAAATTGGCATTTTGCGTTCCACGCGAAAATTTTGGCGCAACGCAGCCTTGATCCTGATTGTCAGTCTTCTTACGAGAATTGAATGTTCTTTGAATTTTTTTCATAAATTTTCAAAAAAATATTCAAATTATCTGAGCCAAACGATAAAACAAATAAGAGGTACTGTAATCTGTTTCCCAAAACGTGAAATTATTTTTTAGTTCGGCATGTTCCCTGATAAGATATGCTTAAGAATAAAAATAATTTGCTGATTAAAAACGTTTATTTTTAATCAACTTTTAGAATAAACTTTAATTTCTAAAAATCATCGTTAGCCCTCAAGATATCTTTTATTAAAAATAAAGAAAATCTTTTTATAAGTAATTTAGAATCTAACTCAGAAACACCCTCAACTACAACTAAAGCCAAAATGTCCAAGAAAAAACGAGATAGGGAGAAAAAGAAAATTTTAGAATCTAAAAATTTGGAGGAGAAATTTGTGAATGAAAGTTTAGATACTGAAATGATGGATGTTGATGAGGAAGGTTTGATAGAAGGGATAAGTAGTCAATTAAATGAAATGAAATTAGGTTCGTTTAATTAATTTAAAATTTAAATTTTTCCAACAAATTAAAATTGGGAGTTTTAAATTGAAGTTAAATAGCCCCTACCAAATTCGGAAAAAGGAGAAGAAAAGGAAAATGCGGGGATATACAGAAGAGTATTTTAAATTGAATTGATGTGTTCTGAAGCACCCGCGTTCGAGGGGAGCAGGCCAGTGTACCGCGAGCCCAGTGTACTTTTTGTTCAACACTTTTTGTTCAACATTAACTTTGTTCAACATTATCAAATCCGTGGCGCTCTGGTATGGTTCGATACAAATGATCGAGCCGCATTGAACAATACCAGAGCGCTAAGGATTCGACAATCTTGTGCAAAGTTATAGTTCGGCGGTACATAGGGCTCGCGGTACATCAAGTACCCCTCCCCCTCGTACATTCATGTGCAACTCTATTTTACACACATAGCCTTCTTCAATTAGAATTTATCGAATAATCTCTTTGAAACTTTTTCAAAATTATCCTAGCAATCCGAAGTTATAATTAAAGTACATACTATATATTTTAATCTTTATATTCGGAAATAAATATATAAATTTGAAATAAACATTTAGAACCTAACTCGGAAACACCCTCAACTACAACAAAAGCCAAAATGTCCAAGAAAAAACGAGATAGGGAGAGAAAGAAAATTTTGGAATTTAAAAAATTGGAGAAAGAATCTGTGGATGAATGTTTGGATGATAAAATGAAGGATATTGAGGCGGAGGTTCGTCCAAAAATAATTGAGGAAAATACAAGTATGGGTTCTGGTGAAATTACCGTAACCGAATCTGCAAAAGGAGAATTTGAGGGACCAAAAATAGTGGAGCAAAAAACAGCTGAGAAGTTTGTTTTAGATAAATTGAACTTAAAAATATTTACAAAAATTTTTTTAAGGCCCATAATGAAAGATGTACAAGTGAAAATTTCTAAATTTTCTAAAGGAAAAGATAAAACAAATTTTAATAAAAACGTTAAAGCGAAACATGGAAAAATGGATAAAAATGAAAATATTAATGAAGTGGTTAAAAATGATGTTGAATTAAAGCAAACAAATGAATTGACATTGTTTGAGGAAAATAATGAGGTATTTCTTTTTCCAATTTGTCCTGATCCAGTTCAGATGGCTACATTAAATAGTCACTGATCCAATTCGATCTTCACTCATAATTTACCTAATTTCTACTTTGGATAAGCTTTCGGCAGATGTATTTTTTGGTGTACCGTTATTGTAATACCGAAAGTAACGCTACCGAACGAGTACCAAAATACACCGTACTGGCTTCGACCGAAAAGTACCGATTCGGTATATTAATTAGTTCCGAATCGTTGCTCAACAAACTTTGGATAAAGTGTTATTCTGCGTTTGTCGGTCTGGAATGTCCAGGAAATAAAAAAATACATGGCATTTTCCAAGAAATAAAAACGAATTCGATTCGGCTAACCCAGGACTAACTAGCCTATTTTTGTCCGAATATTTAAATTTTATCATTTATTTTTATAGCTCATTGATATATTGCAAGGAAAAGGTTTTTGGAAGAACCCTGGAAAGTCTAATATGGTTGATAAAACCATTAGTCTAAAAAAAGCAATTGCTGACGTAATAAAAACTGTTGAACTCTGGGTAATCAAAATATTATTAATAATTTTTATTTGAATAATTTTATAAAGTGGATTTATAAAATCTGTCTGGTGATTTCGCCAGTATGCGATTTAGGCAGTGAGTAATATTGAGTAATATGGGCAGTGAGTGATTTAGGTAGTAACCAATTAAAGTGAAAATAAAAAACACTCATGAGTGATTTGGGCAATAAATAATTTCCATGATTTCAGTATTAACTTATCATATGTATTTATCAACCACAGTGATTCTATTTTTCTAACCAGGAAGGATTTAAAATTCTTTTTAAGCCTCCCAGATCTCACGAACAAGGCTGGGCGTAAGAGATCAGTTGGGGGTGCTATCAGTAGTTATGAATTGATAACGGCGATATCAGAGAATTTGGAGGCAACCCCTGCTCCCGGCAAAATGTTCCTAATCTTTTTTAAGTCCAGATCATTCCCAATTATTTTTTTCAGTAAAAAGGAATGGAATAACCCAAATTATTACTTAAATCTATCCAAAAAATTTTATTTTCAGAACAAAAATGCTATAACATTAATTTCTGGTTCTTATCTACTAAATATAAATTCTGTAGAATCTGATGTTGATTTTATCATTGTATTGCCATTTAATTATAATAATCCTACTGACAAATTTGTAACAAAACGAATGGTGGATGATGAATTTATGGGCATTAGATCTGAATGTAATTTTGAAAAAAGGGAGGAATGTAGTGAGAAAGAATCGCTTTACTGCTTATTATGCGAGGTATTTTTGAGCTAATACAAATACCCTTCCAAAAAGTTCAAAAAAAAGTTTCTTACGTAATCGCGGACCTGAGCATTTGTGGTGTACCCAATAGAGATCGAGCTGGGTCTGGACCAAGGCCAGGGTTTTTCCTGTCCCGAGTCATGGCCCAGGCATTTTTTGACCTTCCTGGGGTTTTCCTGGGCCTGGGTTTTTCCTAGACTACAGGCCCAGGATCCGGCCCAGGTCAATAAATCAAACCCAGAGTCCAAGAACGGGCACAGTCTTTTCAAGAATCTTGATCTCTAGTACCCAAATTCAAAATAAAAATTATTGAAATAATATTAAATTAGCTTTCTATTAATAGAACAAAGCAACAACATGGCTTAGAAAAATTACGACAGGCGTTAATGAAATAAATGCAAAAATTCATAACTATTCTTTTGATTTGGCATTTGTTGCATATCCTTGGAGAAGAGATTCTCGACAAGTCTTAAGCTTTATAGAAAGTGAAACAAGTTTAAATGAAATAGACAATTTTATTTTAAATTTTACTAAACAATTTGGGACGTATTTGCAATATGACCGAGTTGGAATGATAAATTCTTTATCGGGTTTATAAATAATATTTAATTAAATATTTTTCTAAATTCTTATATATAATCATCAAAAATATAACTAACATTTTCTGGGATGAGCGCTTTACGTTTTGCGTTGATTTTTGGCCTTGCATTGGGTTTTTCAGGATTGCCTATTGCGCTCATCCCTGATACAAACTAGAACAAAAATCTCGGTTATCAAAGGAAAGATAATTTCAGAATAACTATTGTAAAGCATATAGCTATTTAATTTCCTAAGGCTGAGCAGTAATGGCTAACACATCAGTCCGGTCTACTGAAGATGCTGGTTCGCTCCCAGCCGCCGAATAACCTTTTGCACTAGCTAAAGGAGAGAAATAGCTATAGCCCAGCTGCTTTACTCTATCTTGATTCCGTGAGACCCTTCCAGTCTAATCCAGGACTGGGTGTAATTGGAAAAAATTTCACAACCGAAAAACGCAATCCGAAATTTTGTCCAGTTTTGGTTCGGTCCATAATTCTTTCCATAGGGTGGAACCCGTTGAAAGACTAATAAAAAATTATTTTCTAGAAATAAATTCGACATCTAATTAAAAATATTTTTTAATTAAGGTTATCGTGCTAATATTCGAATTAATGAAATTATTTCAAAGGAAAAAGATAAATTTCAACTTGTACTATTAGCGCTAAAACTGTGGGCAAAAAGCAAGTTTATTTTAGCTTTATTTAATTTTATATGGAATAAAACATAAACTTTATAAATTATAATATAAGTTCTGTCGATAAGAGGCTCTTTCATAAAAAGCTGTCTAGCTTGACATATCCGACCATATCCTCCTTATCCGCTGTATCTTGAAGATGATGCATTTATCTAAAAAACGCTGAAACTTGTCGAAAGAGATACGAAGCAAGCTTTCGAATGGTTTATAGAACATGTATAGTAGTGTTTCACCGGAACCGAAATTTTGACCGGAACCGGAACCGGATCCAATTTAAGTTCCGGTTCCCGGAACCGGAACCGGAACTTTTCAAAGTTCCGGCCCGGAACCGGAACCGGAACTTTTAAAAAAATTTTTGCAAGCACATTTTTAAAAATTTTTATTTTAAGTAGGGGTGCGGTTTCGCCAATTTTTCGATTAAATTCTGCCAAATTCTTCTGTTAATCGAAACGAAAAAAAATCCAAGTTTTGGAAGACCAAATCCCCAGCTATTCAATCCCTGATATCTAACTTGCACAGCTCATTCCCTGGACATCACACCCAAATCCCTCTATATTACCTATAACCCCTTGAACTCACATAATGTAACTCAAAATCCACCTTCATCCATCCAAATCCTTCGATTTACCATACAACTTCCCTTCATAGCGCCGCAGGCGAAAATTTTGGGATTTTAGGTGAACCAAGGATACAAATTTCTTCCTTTTAAGCGCCGCAGGCGAAAATTTTGAGAATTTGTGTGACCAAGTAGCTAGATTTCTTCATTTTCTTGCGCCGCAGGCGAAAATTTTGAGAATTTTGGAAGGCCAATCGGGGAAAGCCAATCCATATTTCTTAAAAAAACTAATCCTTAGGGGTGTAAAAAAGTTCCGGTTTGCCCGGAACCGATTTGTAAACCGGAGCCGGAACCGGAACCGGAACCAATTTGAGTTCCGGTTCCCGGAACCGGAACCGGAACCAAAAAAACACCGGAACTTTCCGGAACCGGAACCGGAACCGGAACTTCCGGTGAAACTCTAATGTATAGCAACATTCATAAGAACGTTCCATACTACAGAACTTATGGTTACACCCAATATAATCAAATAATGGCGCTTTAAAATAGCAAAATCACACGAAAAATGATTTTTCTTTTCTCTCTTTATCTTTCTTTTTATAAATTATAATTTCAGATCATTTTATTTATAATGGTAAACTCGGATTCTTTAGTGGCACCTCATTAGCCATTCTAGTAACGAAGATATTTTTTGATTCTAATTCTTCAAAACTAACAATTAATCAAATATTGGCAAAGTTTTTTGATATTTCCACGTATAAACTGTATGTTTATTTAATTAATATACGGGAAACTAAATTGAGCGATCAGATATTCTTACGAGAATCGAGATAGATACTGTATTTCTTCTAATAGTGCGACTCCCTATATTAGACCGATCCCTTCTAATAAACCGACCCCGTAGAGATTTTCTGTTCGAGTGGTAGCCTAATAATGCTGGGTTGTTGGCTCCGGCTCCGAACTTTTTCAAAATTTTTGGCTCCGAGCATTCTATATTTTTGGGTCCGGCTTGATTGATTTTCCACTTCTGATTGAATTGCCATCCGAGAACAAAAATTAATTGAAAGATCATATAGGTATATGTGTGTATTTGATAAATACAGTTTTCCATCTTTCCGTCAATTTCCGAAATTTATAGCTTCTCGTGTTTCGGCACCTGATTTCCCCCTTACACCACCAGCTCTCATTAAATAAATTACCGATTTAATACAAAATTTATTTTTAAAAATTATTTCCTCGTTCAGATATGATAATAATACCCCAACAAATAAGCAAAAAATTGATAAAGATTCAGAAGCAGAACTTAAACCTATTATTCTTGAGGAAACTAACAAAAATTTTGAAGAATTACGACAACAAATAGACTGGAATGAAGCAAATGAGAGAGAATCTCGAAATAAATTTTATATAAATAATACAGAAAAAGTGTTAAGAGATCAAATAATGGAAAAACAAAAATTTTTAGAGAAAGCTATTTCCTCTAATGCAGTTTCGGAAAAAGAAATTTTGGAAAAAGAAATTTCAGAAAAGCAATCATTATTGGAGGAAATTTTGGAACAGAATGCCAAAATGGAAAAACATACAAAATTAGTTTGGCCTATAATAACACCTGGAATGCCCAAACAAAATGCCGGATTTAATATTAATATGTCCACAAGGAAAATAATGTGGAGAGAAATGGAGAAAGGTATTTGCTAGGATTGTTCCCCGTCCACCCCCCCCCCTCCCCACCGACCCCCGGGCGCTGCCTTCCCGAAAATTTATCACCGTGCCCCCCCCCCACGTCGGGAACACCCCTAGTATTTACATAAAGGTTGGCGGTTCATGAGAAATCTCCGGATATTCTTCCATCTTCCGCTAATTTACAATCCTAGCTACGGTCATTATTTTTGCCGAGGAATTTATGTATTTATGATCTTCCAATAAAATTTTCTCCGAGACCTTTTGACCTAGAAAAAGAAAATTCTTGTAAAAACTAATTTTGACTTTAAAATCATGAAATTCGCTACAATAGCTAATAATTTAATTTTATTATTATACAAATTTTCAATTTAAATTAGCGTCTACTTTAATCAAAACAAATATAAAAAATGCTTTGAAGGCGAAATCGAAAATTTATAAAAATACTGTTGGAACCCATACAGATTTAAAAAACCAATGGGAAGATTTGCTAATTAGTGGCTTAGAATTTAGGAATAAAGTTTGTTTAATTTTTAGTTAGCACAAGGTAACGGATTTTTAGGTTGTAAAAATTTAAAAATAGGTGCCTAATAGAGGTCGGCAAAATCGTGTTTGCGGGATCTCGCATGCGGGATTTTTTCAAATCTTTTCAGACGTGATCCCGCGGGATAAATCCCGCATTCCCGCAAAATCCCGCAAATCGAAAAAAGTGCGGGATTGCGGGACGGGATCCCGCAAAATCCCGCGCTGGATCCCTCTCGCGCCGAGCTCCACTAAATAGTAAATAACAAAATGCCAAAATAAATTTGAATAGATGACAAAAGTACGCGTAAACAAAGATTTTCAAAAAAATAACAATGGAATTTTCTATTTCACAAAAAATATGTTATAACCTAAAAATCCGAGCCCTAATTATCTCACACATAGCAATAACACACACAATGACATTTTTAAGTATGATCAATTTCTCGCTATTGTCTGTACTTATTCATCTACAAGTGAATATGGAGATGAATTTTGTGATTTTTCTACTACACGTATCCGTCTCCAATTATTATTTTCAATTGAGACAAAAATTGATGCTATTTGTCATGCAAATTTACAAAAACAGAATAAGAATAAATGTCCAGAAGAATTTAGGAAAAAGGGGTGGTTATGCATTATTTGGCTAGTTGGAATTGATTTTGAAAATAATGGAAATAGAACTGGGCAAAGTGAGGTAAATAATGAGTGACTCTTAATCATGGCTTCGACTCGAATTTTTAAAAATCCGCATTTTATCATCGAAAATCCGCAAAAAAGCTTTTTTACGCTGCCGTGATAATCAAAGACAAAAATTGACTTAAAATCATTTTATGGCTTAAGTTTTTTGACTCCTACA